AAATGAACACATTTCCGTCATCAAAATACCGGTCAATGTGTTCAGTCTTCAAGATCTCGAGGAAATCAACAAAAATGTTTTGATCCAAACGATGGACACGAAACAGTGGTCCCATTCCATGGAAACTGAAACTAATCAAAAAATTAATTAAAAATTTGTTTAATCAAAAAATTTAGTTAATTATAATTATACCTGGCGATGAATGACACTAAATCGTCGTGTGTTCTGAATGAGAGCGATATTCTCGGCGTTATATCGCGTTCCGTTTGTCCGCCACACCCAGACTCTCCCGGCATCTCCGGAGCAAACAGTGAACTAATCGATGAAGACACCAAATGACCAATTGATTAGTGACCAATCGATGTGTTCATTGGCGTAATCAAACCGTCGCTCCATGTGTTCGTCACTCAATCGTTCCTTATGTGCGGCCATTCTGTGTCTCACGCCTTATAATTAAATAAAACTTTTAGAAAATAATTTTTAAATTTGTATAATATTAAAAACCTCTATCTTTGAGCCTTCGCTTCAATGTCAAGTCACTTGCGGCTTGAATGCGCGGGTTATCCACTATTTCAGGCAATTGTCTCAATTCATTCATAGATGACCACTGGTTATGAATTGCTGACTCTCGAAGAACCTCGTCATCGTCAGCAGTGGTCATCCGATTCTCGTGATGTCCACCTCTGGGAACAGTCAGGAATGGGATGTCTTCGTCATCAATTCGTTTCCATTCTTTGATTGTTTTCTCATTGAGTCCTAAATATAGAAATATAAATAAATTTTATAACAATTTGATTACATTTTATATTACATACCAGTTGTGCGCTTAATGACTGACTCGGGTGTCCCTGATGCTCGCAATTTAATAAATTGCCTGAATTTCATCTCTCGATCTAACTTAGAGTAAGGCATTTAACTAATTGTTTACAATTAATAAATTGGTGACAAATTTGTTATCAAACACTTTGTAAACAAACCATACACAGACAGTCAATAAACTACGTCCACAATAGTTATCAATAACTTACGCTTTAATATCAAACTTAAGTAGACCCACACTCCATGTATTTTCAATGAGGGTTTCAAGAATTCTCTTGTCAATATTTAAACGTGAATATCTTTGTGACTGGGTAACATGAAAATATGATCATATATACCAAAAGTTCGTACATTAATTCAGGATTAAGATCCTGAAGTCAGATCTAAGATACGATAATCCGTTTAGGAATTATCAAGAAAATACTGACACCAGTTTTGCTTGAATATGGGTGTATATAGGCTAAAAATTTAAATATTTGTCATTGCTTTCGGGTAAAGTATAAAGAATTTTTAGCCTATATATAATCCTCAATTTGCTTTCTAACATCAGATATATACATATCAGCAAATATAGTGGTATTAAAGTTATAAATTTTAAAATCCTACTTTAATAATAAATCCAGGTTTAAAATGATTTTATTCTTTTTATGTCTATTAACAAGTGTTATTTAAAATGTTAACAAATGTGACATTTTAAATAATAATAATCTTTAGTGTATTTTATAAACTTTAAAATACTAGTGTTGTGTATACTCCGCTTAAATGTCAAATCAAACATCACTAGTTGGTTTCTGGACACCATATCTGTGCGTCTAAGCTATACTTCATATTAAAATTATTTTTAACAGTACATAAAATACTATATTTTAAGATGCCAGAACTAATATGTTTTATTAAATTATTTTAATTTAATAATCTAAATTGTAAAACTATATTTCAATAGAAATTTATTTATAAATAATTTTAAAGATAATTATGATTTTTATAAGTGTGAATATTCAAAGGAAATTACTAATAATATTTCTATTGAAATGTACAGATATAATTAAATTATACTATGTATCTATTCAATTTAATTTTAACATATTATTAACTAGAAATGCCAACCTGTTAATGAATATTTTGTCATTTTTTATTATAATTCTGTACACATGTATTTCTAAAATAAAAGTACACAGATACAATACTTGTTCAATTTATCTATAAGGTTTCAATAGACATAATTTATTATGACTTTAATAAATTTTGTTTTGATAAAATTCTATATACTATACCAATGTTATCTATTAATTTCTATATTCCCGGTGAAGTATCAATGTGACCAAGATACTAATGCTACAAAATGGGTAGTTTTATTAGCAGGAGGACAAAATATTACACACCTTGGATACCTTATGCAGGTAATTATGTGATTTTTAATTTGTTAGTTGGTGCCACCAGTGTCACTTTAACAGTATCGGCACAAATAATACAAAAGATGCCTTTGAGTCCAACTTTTATATTTCTGAAATAGTTTATTACTACTATAACAGACATATCAAAGCAAATTTCAAAGTATCATTTGAATTCATATACACATAAAAATTAAATATTATATTTGATATATAAGGCGAGTGTTTATCGCGCGTATCACGTGCTTCGTGCCCGGGGTATACCCTCTGACCACATAATAGTCATGCATTACGACAACATGGCGTACAATCCTAGGAACCCCACCCCCGGTGTTGTCATCAATGACGTCAACGGTATGGATGTCTACCACAACGTCCCTAAAGATTATACCGGCGATGATGTCGACCCCCAGGTATACATGTTTTTACAGATTATATAATATACCTTAAACAATATTTTATTATTTTAATTTAATTATATTTAGATATTTATCTCGATGTTGAAAGGTGATTCGAAATTAGTAAAACGTGGCAAAAAAGTTTTGAAAAGCGGTCCAAATGATCACGTGTTTATTTATTATTTTGGTCATGGTGATGAATCAGGTAGAAAAATATATTGGTAATATAGATTTTATATTTAAATTTTAAAACAACCATGTAAATATTCATTATATCTTAAATGTGTACGTTAACAATATATTTTTGAAATTTTGATGCTATACTAACTACAGTATTAATTTTTAAAATAATTTTTTGTTAAATTTACCCTTACAAAAATCTTAAAACATAAATTAACTAGTATCAAAATCTTTTATAATAAAGGCTTTATCCAATTGATTGACAAAAAATTGTATCGAGATGAATTAATGGCAACATTTAATTATATGTATCGTAATAAAAAATATGCGAAATTGGTCATTTATATGGAAACGTGTTATTCGGGTAGGTTAACTAGTTAATTTTATAAGATTGTTGATTTATCATAATTTTTTATTTATACATTGAAGGTGCAATGTTTACAAAGTTACCAAATAATATTAACGTATACGCACTTTCTAGTAGTGAAATTACTGCAGTAAGTAGTCCTTGCTTATTTGATGATAACATCGGATTGTTTGTAGGTAATAAATAATAACTAAAACTTCATGTACTTGATTTATTATTTTAAATATTGCAAATATATTTTAATCCTATTGTTAATTTGTGCTAGGTGGTTGTTTTGAAAAGCCGTGGCTAGATGATTTGGAAAGTAAAAATGATCCAGACGAAACACTGCAACAGCAATACGAGTATATCTACAAAATTAGTTCTGTGGTCAGGGAGAAAATTAGACTTGTACAAAATTACTCAGTGCCGCTCCCCGAGTACCCAGTACAGTTTGGCGATTTGCGAATGGCTAAATTAAAAGTATCGCAATTTTTCAACAATTGATTAGTAATATGATACTTTTGATGAGCAAGCTAAAAATAACTGAATAACTGAAATTTGCAATAACAAATAATAATTTCCTGATTTATCGTAATAATGCTATTTTTATAGACGATTATATGTGTAATTCCTTAATAATTTTAATGGTATAAAGTGTGTACATGTCAATATTACTTGATAACTTTGTAAACATTTTAATTAAATATTCTAAATTGTAAAACTATATTTCAACAGAATTTTATTTATAAATCATTTTAAAAATAATTATGATTTTTATAAATATGAATATTCAAATGAAATTTCAAATAAAATTTCTATTGAAATGTATTACTAGTAATAGAATATTATTAGAAAATTCAAATTAAATTATAATTAGGCGGCGTTCACAAAGTACGCATACATGCCTAGGGGAGCGGCACTGAGTAATTTTGTACAAGTCTAATTTTCTCCCTGACCACAGAACTAATTTTATAGATATACTCGTATTG